CTCACCTTCCTTCCTGTCTGTGTCCTAGATGCTTCCAGGCCAGACTTTTAAAAGACCTTTTTGTTGTTGCAGTGCCACAGGGTTACACACATGCTGACTGTGGTGCTCTGCGTGGGTTGTTTGCACCCCTTTAGTTGTGGGGCTTGCACAGTGATCTCAGGGCTTGCGGTCCAAGTTGAGGCACACAAGTTATGTTTGTGGTGCTCACCAGGGGTCCGACTTCCTGGCCATGGTGCTTACACAATTGGTTTTAGTTGTGATGCTCGTGTGTGTGTGTGTGTGTGTGTGTGTGTGTGTGTTGCTCACATACACCTGGGTATAATGAGGCTAGGAATCATTTGTGGCTCTGGGGATCGCAGACAGCAGAGTTTCTAGAACAGTTGCCTGGCCATATGCTTGAAGGCAGGGCCTCTAAGCCCTGCCCTGTTCCCCCAGGCCTGGGTCTAATGGTCTGATTTCTGTGCTGATGCCCCAGGCTGGGGGCTCACAATTGTGGGAGAGGGGAGCAATACCAGGACCACGCTTGATATTCCCGGCTTCCCAAGGCGCCCTCCTGAGGACACGCTGCTCTCCAGGGAAATCTCAGGCGCATCTCCCAGGGAAATTGGCCGCTGAGATGCCTCACTGGTAGCCTTGTTCTGAGGCCAGAGGCAGCGGTGGTGCGGGAGAGCAGGCCGTGCAGGGGGACTCAGCAGACTGCCTCCCACCCTGCAGGTCATCAGTGAGGGCGTGCCCCTAGTGCTGGCCCTGGTGCCCCACCGCCAGCCCCATTCCTTCATCACCCAGAGCTCCCCAGACCTGTTGGTAAGTGTACTGGGCAGAACCCCACCTCAGCACCACCCCATCTCTCACTGCCCCCATCTACTTCTGCTCACTTTTGTCTGTAGGTGACCGTGAGTGCCAATGGACTGTTGGGCACCCACAGCTGGTTGCCCTATGACCGCAATATAAGCAACTACTTCAGCTTCAGCAAAGACCCTAACATGAGCAACCCCAAGTAGGATAAAGGGCCGGGGTGGGGGTGGGGGTGTTCTAAGTACTCTGTACTGAGTCCTCTTCTGGCCAAGCCACAGGCTTGGGTCAGAGGCTCTGAGGCCAGGGTCTGCTGTGTCTCACCTGCCAACCCTCTGTTCGGATCAGGATGCAGCGGCTACTGAGTGGCCCCTGGGCACCCGGCAGTGGTGTGAACGGGCGCGCCCTGGCAGTGGCCCCCGACGGAAAGCTGCTGTTCAGTGGAGGCCACTGGGACGGCAGCCTCCGGGTGACGGCACTGCCCCGGGGCAGGCTGCTGAGCCAGCTCCGCCACCACTTGGGTAGGTAGCCTGGGAGTGGGGGTGGGTGCGCGGGGGGCATCCCCCTGGCCAGAGAGGGTGCGAGCTGTCTTTTCTGCTGTGCCCTCCCCTCCCCATGCAGATGTCGTGACCTGCCTCGCACTGGACACCTGTGGCATCTACCTCATCTCCGGCTCCCGCGACACCACGTGCATGGTGTGGCGGCTACTGCTGCAGGTACCCAGGAGAGGGGTGGGGGTCAGCTCTGAGGGCCCTTTGTTCAGACCTGCAGCTCCCTCCCACCCCCCCTCCACCCACTGTGCTCCAGTTCTGCTCACTTTCATCTCCCTGGGCTGTGGGTTGCAGTTCTGAGCCTCCTTCTGCCTTTCCTGGCCCTTAGCCTTCTTGTCCAGGGGCTAGGGCAGCAGGATGCCTCCACCAGCCCTGACCCAGTACTGGCTCCCACAGGGTGGTCTGGCAGTAGGGCTGGCATCCAAGCCTGTGCAGGTCCTGTATGGGCATGAAGCTGCAGTAAGCTGTGTGGCCATCAGCACTGAACTGGACATGGCGGTGTCTGGATCTGAGGTGCGTGCAGGCCAGTGCCCTGGGAGGCTGTCTGCTGGGCACGGCTCCTGCTGCCAGCTGCTAAGCTGCCTCACCTACCCCCCACCCCAGGTTGGCACTGTGATCATCCACACTGTGCGCCGAGGACAGTTTGTGGCAGCCCTCCGACCGCCAGGGGCTTTGTTGCCTGACCCCGTTTCCCACCTGGCGCTGGGGTCCGAGGGCCAGATTGTGGTACAGAGCTCGGCCCGAGAGCGTCTGGGAGCTCAGGTATGGGACGGGACACCCGCTGCACTGCACAAGAGGCTGTGTAGACATCCTCTCCTTCCTGACACTTGGTTCTTCCAGGTCGCCTATTCCTTGCACTTGTACTCCGTGAATGGGAGGCTGCGGGCATCGCTGCCACTGGTGGAGCAACCCACGGCCCTGGCAGTGACGGAGGACTTTGTTCTGCTGGGCACGGCCCAGTGTGCCCTGCACATCCTACACCTCAACACGTGAGCCCCTCCGTTTCTGAGCTCTTGGCCCCTCAGGGTGGTGGCCGTTGGCAGAGGAGACTAGTGGGCCCCCTGCACAATTCTTCAAGGCTTGTTCCCTCAGCCACACATTGTGGAAGTTCCCTTTCTGTGTCAGGGTTTGCATCTGGCTGGCCTTCGGAGGAGAGGGGCGGGGATGAAAGCAGCAGCCCCGGTCTGCGGGTTGTGGAGCTCCCTTGCAGCTATGATTGCCCCCCTCTCCCTGCAGGCTGCACCCGGCCGCTCCTCCTCTGCCCATGAAGGTGCCCATCCGCAGCGTGGCAGTGACCAAGGAGCGTAGCCACGTGCTCATTGGCCTGGAGGATGGCAAGCTTATCGTGGTGGGCGCGGGGCAGCCCTCCGAGGTGAGGCTTGAGGTGGGAGAGTGGGCCTCAGACGGCGCGGGGAGCGGAACGACGGCTTTAACTAACCCTACCCCGCCCTGCTCCCACCAGGTGCGCAGCAGCCAGTTCGCGCGCAAGCTGTGGCGGTCCTCGCGGCGCATTTCCCAAGTGTCCTCTGGGGAGACAGAGTACAGACCTGGAGAAGCCCGCTGAGCGCCTGCCCTAGCGGGCCTCTCAGGCTCCGCCCCCAGCGGCTCCGCTGCAGGAGGCCCCGCCCCGGGGCAGCAGGAACGCCGAGACCATTGGCCCGCACTCAGGGGGTGGGCGGGGCCCCACCCCCGCCGCGCTCAGGGATTCGTGGACGGCAGCACTCCGGGAAGTCCCGCCCCTCGCCGGCAGAGGGGTCGCCCAGAGTCCCAGCACCGGCCTTGGCGGCCGCACCCAGCACTTTTTTGCACAGTTCGGGACTGGGGGGTTCAGGCCCCCAGGTTCTCCCCGTCCGGCAGAGCACAGGGGCCGGGCTGTGCCTTAATCTCTAAAGGCGGCCCTCCGCTCTCCTAATCTCGGCAATAAACCTGGCCTAGTTTTGTAGCCGTTTCGCCTCTGTGTGCGCGCGTGTCTCAGCCCGTCCAGGTCACCATCCCATGGGGGGGAGGGGGGCACGCGAGGGGGGGGGCTGTTTCTTCTCCAGGGCGCCTTTGCCCCGCTCTGCGTGGGCTCAGTTTCCCCAGCTGGGCCCAGCTCTGCCCCTCGGGGCCAGGCTGCCCTGCCCCGGCGGGCGCCGTGTCTGCGCACGTGTGCGCGTTCCTGCGCGGGGCGGGGGCGAGACCGCAGAGCCGCCCCTCCCGCCGCACCCCTCCCCTCACGCCCCTCCCGCCGCACCCTTCCGCCCCTCCGCCCCTCCGCGCCCCTCGCGCCGGCTGCCCACACCCGGGCCGCTCCCCAGGCTGCTGCACCGTCGGACTCGGCCCCGCGCCGCCCGAGTCCGAACTCCCTGCAGGCTGGCGGAGAGCGGATCCCGGGACCAGTGGAGGGGCGACCGCCGCAGGTCAGGAGGGGACTGGGGACAGAAGCCCCGGCCGATCGATCTTCCTAGACCCAGAGCCGCCGACCGCTTCTCTATCACCCACCGCGAGTCCCACCCCGTGGGCGTTGTCGGCACAGGCGCCGGTGCTGGGATGTGTGTGGGCAGCCAGCACAGTTGCTGAGTGCGGGGTGTGGCACTCTGAGCATATTTTGTGGGCCCGGAGTCGGGTGAGGGGTAGAGGTGCCCGTCTCTGTGCTCGGGCTGTCTGGCAGACAAAAGCCGGCCTGGGTCACCCGCCAGCCAGGATCCAGGAAGAGCTCCTCACCGTGGTAAGTGACACGAAATACCCACCCGTGGCAAGGGTCTCTGCAGCCTTGGGCCACAGCTCCGGCCAGTTGTGCACTTTCCTGTGCGCAGGCCCCGAGGAAGTGAGTTTGGAGTGGGGGCGGGGAGACCAAGTCTGTGTGTGGAGTCAGAGGGCTTCTCCCGGCCAGGTCTCCTCTGTCCTCTCCACCAAAACTCCACCCCAAGCCTCAGGTGGTGAGACTCAACCAGGTCAGCAATGTGGGTCCAAAGGGGACCTGGGAATGAGCAGGCCTGGCCTTCAGGCCTCTGAACTGCAAGATGAGAAAGAACACAAGTCTCTGAGCCCACAGGCCCCGCCCTGGACCCTCTCGGGACTCCTGAGGCCTCCTCCCGACCAGACTCTTAAGCAGGAGGTGAGGAGGGCTGGGCACCCGGAGGCAGCGCTGGGCGCAGGCGCACTCCAGGGAGCGGGGCCTGGGACATTCAGGGTGTTGTGTTCTTGGGCTGAGTCTGGGAATTCTGTGGGCGTCCCTTAGCCAAATTTGGGGCTTGACTCTGGCTGAGGTGGGTGGAGTCCCCTTGACTACCCTGCTCTGCCTGAATATACTTGGGTTTGAGACAGGGTAGCTTTCAACTGGGCACAAGTTGCCTCCGGGCAGAAGTGAGCAGCAGCATTCATTACCCTTCCACTTTAGCTGTTTTGCAACAGAGCTGCCCTGAGCTCACCCTCTAGCTTGCTCCTCTAGCTTTGGCCAGTAGTCACTAGGGTGCCCCTGTGCGCCCTCCCCACCCCCCTCACCAAGAGGAACTAGGTCAAGAGTGGGAGCCGTGCAGGGGTATCCATCCTCTGAGGGAATCAGGATGGAGTGATCTACCCCACTACCAGGGATGCCCCATGTAAGGCCCAAGGATTTCCTGGCTGCCTCTGTACGCAACTCTTCTGGACTCAGGTCTCCCAGCACAGGCGCTCGGGGAGCTGCCTCTGACCCCCCAATTCCGCCTCCTAGAGATGGAGCTTCTTGGAGCACTGCCAGCCCACAGAGCTCTGCCGCCCAACTCCAGCCATGGGGCAGGCGTGGTCCGTGTGGGTAAGTACCTCTCGGTCCAGGTGTGAGACACTGGGATGGATTGGGGGAGCCCCCTGTGTGGGTAAATCACAAACTAGCTCAGCCAGGTTCTGCTGTCCTTTGTCTGGGGGGACAAGTGGCTTCCAGGCAGGAATGAGCAGCAGCATTTATTACCTTCCAGTTCAGCTCTATTATGTAAAACTGTACTGGGTTTCCTGTGCAGAGGCCACCATGGGGCCCCACACGAATCAGGGTGCTCTCACAGTTCAGAGGTGTGGGGGGAACAAGCGCCATCATAGACAAGGGAGAGAGAGGAGCCAGAAAAGGGAGGGACCCGAGAGACAGCAGGGAAGGATTCCCGGGGGAGTCCCACCTCTGTCAGACAGAGACCGCTATAGGGCAGGCGCAGACGCTGGAAGCCCAGGAGAAGGCTCGGTGTCTCACGAGTGGCTTGAGGAGGAGAGGCTGTGGGGGAAGGACAGGAAAGCAGGTCACTGTGCCAAGGCCCTGGGGTCAGCCTCTAACGCTGCGTGGTCGGGGATTTGCTTTCAACCTGAGTGTGCCCAGGGACCCTGGCCTGGATTCCTTGCCCTTGACCCTGTCTCTCCTTTCCTTCGCAGATAAGACATGGACGGGGCAGGACAGAGGACTGTGGGGAGGGGAAGGGGAAGCCCCAGCCCCCAATGCCACCTCCTCATTCCCCCCTGAGCCTCCCGGAGCCTCAAGTAGCATCATTCCAGTCTACTGTGCCCTCCTGGCAACTGTGGTCCTTGGTCTGCTCTCCTATGTAGTCTTCAAGTGGTAGGTAGCTCGGGGGCACCTCCACCCCCCACGGTGACTCCCAGCCAGCTGTGTCGGGAACTGGTTGACAGGTACCTCTTTGCATCCTTCTTTCCTCTCCCCTTTCCCCCAACCCCCAGCTGGCGCTCACATAAACACAAACAGAAGCTGGCCAAAGCTCGGACTGCAGAGGTGGGGAGCCAGATGCACGGAGAGAGCAGTGTCTTTCTGGACGCTCCTATTAGTCTGGACCCCTGCGCCCCCAGCCAGGGTGAGCCCCAGTCTATTCTACAGTCCCTCAGACCCTAATTCTGCACTTCCCTTCAGCCCCTCTGAGACTGTGTTCCCTTGTAGGACAGCATCCTGAGCTGGGCTGCAGACTTTATCTTCATCTCCCTCGGCAGCAGCAGGAGGAAGTGGAGCGGCTCCTGGAGGTGACAGAGGAAGCTGACGGGCTGGCAGGGCCTGGCGGGCCGCCTGGGCTACCCAACTGAGGCTGTGGCAACTATGGCTCAGAGCCAGGTGCCAGCCCACACCCTGCTGAGGGACTGGGCTGTCCAGAAAGGCAGCAGTGCCACCCTCAGGGTGCTAGAGTGCGCACTGACTGCCATGGGCCGGGACGATGTGGTCCGGGTTCTGAGTTCCCCGGCTGAAGGCTGCTCTGTGGTATGAGCGTTGACTCTGTTGCCCAGCCCCTCCGGGGGCTATTCTGGTGCTCCCCCCTACTTCCTTCTCACTGGCCTTTCCTGTTTTGAGGACACATGATTTGGAGTCCACAAAGTTTCAAGTTGCCACTCACTGCCCCTTTCTCTTCCTTCCTCTGGGACAGGGATATTGAGGGTAGTTGACAATGCAGAATGTTCCTGCTCTGATCCTCTGCACCTCTCCTCTTCCTCGGCTGCTCTTTTCTGTTTGTACCCCGTATTAAAGGCAACTTTGTTTTAGACTTGTGTGGTGACTCTTTGGGCCTTGAAGCAGTTGGGTGGCCCAGAGAAAGAGTTGAGTCCTGAGGAAGAGGGAAGGGCACCTGAGCAGACAGGCAGCATGTGCCCATAGAAGATGCTTGTACAGTGCATCTGTATTCAGTCATGATAGCAAGCTTTTAGCTTGCAAATCTTTAGCTCCCTTAGCTGGACAACAGTAAACCGAATGGCACCTGTACTAGATCCCCATCCCTCCTCCCACCCACCCCAAGACTCCTACATAGTACTGAGGTCCAAGACCAAGTAATCAGTGAGGGGGTCTTGGATTTGAGATCACTTTCCTGATGTGCTGTGATCAAGAGGGGCTGGATGCCTGCACCTCTATTTGGGAGGCAGGAGTTAGCCTGGTCCTGGGACTAGTTACCAAGGAAGGACCGTATCACCTCACTTAATCACTTAATCCCCGTTATTCATCGATTTATTCGAGCGGGTGCCAGTAACGTCTCCATTCATCCCGGTTGCGTGCTAGTGTAGACCAATGGTATCTGTTCGTTTTAGGAACATGTAGAGCCTCAAACCGATCATTTAGGGTCTTGACGAAGAAGTCTGACCATCTTATAGGTGGGCGTCCACGTGATCTTTTGATGTCTCGTGGAATCCAATCAGTAATGGCTCTAGTCCAGCGGTTGTCTGTAAACCTCATTACGTGTCCAGCCCATCTGATTTTTGATGTCTTGGCAAATGAGACAGCGTCCCTGATTCTTGAGCGTTGACGAAGATCAGAACTCCGGATTCTATCTCTCATTTGAGTGAATCGTGATATTCCAAGCATAGTTCTTTCGATTCCTCTTTGAGAGACCCGAATAGACCCGAATAGTATCACCTCTAGACGAGAAAAAGGGAAGAAAGGGCTCCTTGTAAGATTCACAGCCCAGACTCTGGAGAGCGAACTCCAAACTTGCTTCTACCGCTGCCTACTTGATTTCCGCACAACTCAAGAACAAGTGGGTCATCTTACCCAACAAAGGGGCAGATCAGAACAGACACCCTGTCTATATTCATGCTGAAGGGAGCAGGCAGACTAGTTATCGTGTCTTCAGAAGGTATTGCTACCAGAGATTCTGCCTAGGAACAATGGCTACCATCCTGCCATCTGCCAGCACCAGTGGTTAAGAAGCACAATCATTCAATACCCTGTCCCTGTTTTGAGATGTGACTAGGACTGTCCTAAGTACCAGACTCAGACTGTTGCTATGACAACTCCTCAAAAAGTTTACTAAGGTTGGCTGCTTGGCTCTGTAAACAATCTAAAGAAGGAAGAGGAGGTTTACAGCCACTTTCATATTAAATGACCCAGGAAAGTGCAGAGGTAGGTCAACTAGAATCAGACCAATGTGCTGAAGACTGCATTTACTTGTGGATCACAGGGATTTGAAAAGATGGATTAGCAATGAATGTGAAATTATTTGAGCTTGAAGGTGTTAAGGGTGAGTGAAAAGGAGATTTAAAAAATTCAGTACAATGTTAGAATTCCTCAACTTTGTCGTACGTGAAAGTTGACAGCCAGTCAACATCTTGTAACAGGAGGCTGGTTAGATTTCCTTGGAAAATCTGGAGCCAAAACCATGAGTCGGACTTTGTTGCTAACAGCGATACATATGGCCACATCCTTGGACTGCAAATCTACTCTAAGAGAAATGCTTTTTCTATTACTATTTTGGATTTGGGACCATACCTATCAGTGGGTGCTCAGGGGACCACTGTGTGGTGCTAGGGGTTGCAGACACCGCAGCTACCTGCAAGAGAAATGTCTCACCTCCTGTACTGTATCTCCGGCCTAACTTTTTTCTTGGTTGGGGGAAGGGGAAGAAAGTACACAGCTGATATGATTAAGGATCTCTCCTGACATTGCTCAAGGGGACCATATGGGGTGCAGGGGATTGATCTTGAGCTAGCTGCACGCAAGTCAAGTGCCTTACCCGCTGTACTACCTCTCTGGCCAGACCAACATTTTATCTATTTTTTGGTTTGGGGGCCACACCCAACTATGCTCAGGGCTTACTCCCTGCTCTGCACTCAGGGATCACTCTTGGCAGGGCTCAAGGAATCATGTGATATGCCCAGGATCAAACTTGGGTCTACCATTTGCAAGGCAAGCACACTACCTACTCTCTAGCACACCCAACATTTAATTTGTTTAAGCAATTGATATCAAAAATTCTCTAATAATAATTTTTTTAAATGTGGGGCTGGACAGATAGTAAAAGAGGTAAGCTGCTTGCTTTATATGCACAACCCTGTTTCAATCCCCAGCACTGCACATGGTACCTTGAGCAGTCTGCAGTCACTCCTGATCATAGTTTTTTAGTACTGCCAGGGTGGTCCAAAAACCAAACAGTAAGTCAAGAAACCCCTAAAATGTAAGAGGGTTAAGTAACTTGGGTTCATCCATTTGACAGTATGTGCTTTTGTTAATAATTTTGAAGACTTGCAGTACCTTGGGAAAACAATTTGGATAAGCTGTTTGTCGCATAATGATTGTGGCTTTAAAATAGATGTTTAAAAAAGATTTAAAAAATTAAGTAAATGTTTTAAAAAATAATGATAAAATAAAATGTTTTCCTTTAAGCAGGACTCACGGCTATTTCTACAATGTACAATAAAAAAAAACCTGCTCCTGTCTCAAAAAAAGAAAAGTTTTAATATGAGGATATGAGATGAATTACCGAGCCTCCTAAACTCCAGGTGTTTACTCCTCACAACCTGCGAACTACACGCCTTTACAGGATTTTTGATCTAGTGTCCCAGGGCAAATAGCAAACGAGCATCTCAGTGGGGTCAGGAGGCTCAAATCTGGAGGGAAGAGAGAGGTTCAGTGTCGCTGCCCTGTTAGAAGATATAAAGGAAAAGTTGCTGCCTTTCTCCTGACTGATTAGAGAAAGTAAAAAAACCTTGTGCCAGGGCTGGACAGAGAGAGTACAGGGGTTAAGGAATTTGTCTTGCACATAGCTAACCAGATCTGATCCCAGGCATCAAATATGGTCTACTAAGCCCCACCAGGAGTAACCCCTGAGCAGGGTCAGTGTGGCCCACCCCTCCCCACACCAAAAACAAAACAAAACCCCAAGTGTCAGTCTCCGGTCAAGTGTTTGCCTCAGTCACAGGGGCACATAGAAAGAATAAGATCTGTGTAAAATCTAACTTGAAATTGCAAGAATTTAGACTTCGGACACATAGTCACCATCTTTCCTCTTTCCAGTGATATACAAACCTGTGACTAACTTTTAGGGAGCACACACGCCAAGTTCTTTAATTGATTTTATTTTTTACATAAAAAGTTCAGTAAAAATTGGATAAAGTAAAGTGATTTTAAGCAGTAAATCAATCTTATCAACATAGCACAAGGCTGGCCAAAACCACACGGCAGCCTGCTTTAGAATATTTACATGATAACAAATTAAACCTTGCAGGAGAACTTAAACTGTCCTTACAAAGTCTTCCTGTGATCCTAGCACATAGAGGCTAAAAGCAAAACAAAAAACAAACAAAACCAGGAAAAAACAAATTATTTTCAATATATTCACATATACATTAAAATATAATACAATTCATCAGGGTAAGGGGTCATGGTGGGGATGCGCATGGGTCTGTGCGCTGACAGCACCGCCAAAGAGACCCAGGTTTGAGATGAGGTTTGGGCCTGGCCAGGGTTTTAGAGGGAAGGGTCTCTCCTAAGCCCTTGCCTCTGATGGCCGCTAACCATACCCCAACATCTCATGACTAGGGATCACTTATTGTAGATGGGAGCTCATTTTTGTGGCTTTCAACTGAAATCTGTAGGTCTGAATCCCCCAGGGTGGTGTGTGATCAGTAGCACAACCCTGACAGTGGGGTGGGTCAGAGGGGGTCCGCAGGATTTCTTCTCGCTGGAGTCAGTCCAACCTGCTCATTGGTTATCCCTCCCTGGCCCCGTAAGTCACTCTAATTCAGTGTCCTCTTTGGGTTTATAAACAACCCCAAACTTCTGCATGTACTTCTTAATGTACTCCTTAGTTTTGTGTTTCACATTCTCATTGCACTCCAGGTCCTCAGGGTTCTTACAGTACTTCAGCTCCTTATTCATAACACCATGAGTCAGCTGTTCAGGGCAAAGAAAGAAAGACCACAGTCAGTGAGAAAAGAAAAGATAATGACAAAAGAAGGCCAGTTCCTTGCTTCAGGGAGCTTCTCATCAACACAGAGTCGAATAAAGATGGTAGTCTGGGCAGGTTGGGCTGGGATCATCAGACAGGGGAACTTAGCTCTGAACCCATCTTAGAAAATCACTATGCTCCAACTTGGGCCAAAGAAACTGTTCTGAGAGTAAGATGCCTGGCCCAGGTTCTAAACCCAGTACCACAGAGGGTCTCCTGGCAAGCCATGGATGATCCCTGACACAGAGCCAGGAGTCCTGAGCACCACCAGATGTCTGCCCTTCCCAAATCTTCCCTCGTTCCTAGCTTAGGCATACGGCAAGGGAAACTTTATTCTTTTTTTGCAGTGTCTGCCAAGGAATTAATCCAGGTTCTCCTCACATGTACAAATAAATGTTCTAATGCTGGGCTAATGTCCTTGAGCTTTCTATGATGAAAGGGGTCATCTTCTCCAAAGGCAGTTTGCTCAGGGTATTATATAACAAGACCACAGCAGGAAGGGAATACCTTGCGAGCTAGATGTTTGAAGTCTTCAGTGGTAGTAATTCTTCCCACTTTGCAGTCAGGTTTCCGGTAAGGGTTCAGGCACTGGACAATGAACTGGGACATCTGCAACAGAAAGAATATGCTGCTCAAAGAGGGCAAGAATTGCTAACAAAATAACCAGAAAGGGGTGTATGCAGGCAATACTTTCCTTTTTCTACACTCATGTGGCTTCTGGACAGAATTCTGGTCAGGTCCAGGAATACAACATTACTACTGAACTGACTGAGCAAGTCTGATTTAGACCAGCAGAATCCTCAATTC